GATCAGTAATCCCTCCCTACAGGGCATTGAGTAAGTTCGTAATACTTAATATCGTCTACCCTGTTCTTAGGTCATGTCAGTCACGAAAGGATGTCGGCCTTTTTACGAGCCTACTTCAGACCGCTAACGAAAGGTGTGCACTTTAAAAAATAACTGCTTAATAGTATGCATTTGAGTCATAAATTTTGACTGCGTTTAGAGATTCAAGTAGATTTACGGAAAACATAACCGACAAAAATCTTTCTTATAATTTTTTGCTAGCAAATTATGTCTTCTTGAAATCCTATAGGTAAATAAGGAGCACCATTTGGTTAAAAATGTGTTATCATTAGTTATTCATGGTTTAGGGTTGTTCATCCCTATAACGTCGTATCCGCCAGTTTATTAATGCTGCGTATAAGTTATACAACATGATCCACATCTTTTTGAGGTCCTAGGCCAAAAGTCCTTTTTTGAACTTTTTTTGAAACCAAAAGATGTCGTTTAATGAAGCATAACATTTGAAAAAGGCGTAACTTTATATCAAAAGATTATAGGAAAGAATATTTTATTAATGTTTTCCATAATATACAGTTACATGTATGCGCAATTATTCGGGTTCGAATATAATGCCATGCTCATCATCCCCGGAAGAGGAAAAAAGAAGATGGGCAAGTGCTGGGGCCAAATTTTCACAGTGCATACGTTGTTTTGGCGGGTAGAAAGAAGGTCGTTGAAAAGCCGGCATCCCTTTGTGACTGAAATGACTTTAGATCAGGCTACAGGATAATTCAAATGCGAATGGATGGTGTAAAAATTGGCGGCCCGGTTGTGAAAACCTCCGAATATTCGAATTTGCATAACTACGAATAAATTACCTCAAGGTTACAGTTGTAGATGGTGTGCAAACTTTGTTTTTTCTCTTATTCTCCAAAAAATTTACTTGGTTCAGACAAAGACACATTTTTCTTTGATGCAGTTAGTTACAGTGCATAATGAAAACAAAAATATTGTGGCACATTAACCCTTCATATATGAGACCGACCTAAAATGTCCGCGGGGTCAGATAAGCAAAATAACCGCCATAAATCATTTGAAGTCATGAAACAGACTGTAAGTACTTGAAGGGAAATAAGCCGACAGTACTGCACACGAAAAGCAGACGTCTTTTAAACTTAAAATGGAATTGGCATTGACGAACTTGAAAAACAAAGGATGATGTAAAACGTGAAAAATGAATGATGTGTTATGAGTAATCACTTTAATTATTCCGTGTATTTAAATAAAGAAGTATTCACTGCGTGCGAATAAGATATTTAAGTTTGCATAATAAGATCTACACGGTCATTGACTGGTCCCGCTGCTCCTGCGTTTCTCATTTACGACTGCTGGGATAAATGTTGATTTTGATAAATAGGTTATTTGAGTACGGTATCTTCTTTAAATATAACATCACTACTGACTTAGTTAAACGCCGACCTAAGTTTGTTTCTATGGCTCCAGGTCTAAAAATAACAGATACGCAGGATAAAGTTTGCATACCGCGTATTTTATTTCGTTAAAAATACGCCATATATTATTCAGAAATACCAAAAAGCTAATCATTAAGGTAAAATTAACTTTCGTTTTCGTGTTAATTTCCACAAAGCGTACATGTGGTTTCTGCTTCACGAAAACGTATCTGCATGTTCATTCCTACGTTTATTGGAAGAATTCAGAGCAGTGAAAATCAGTGGAATTAGAAGTGGGATATAAATCACCAGCTCGGATTTGTAGAATACTAGATTCTTACCATACCCCGCACAACTCAACTACTACGGACAATACATCGCATATAGTTCCCCATGTTCATTTTACTTTTTACTGTTCGTCATATGCGATTTACGTCGTGAAAATACAGCATGATTTTTTTAATGAGGGCCGCTCAGTTCTGAATAATGTTGACATTTATACTGATCTTAACCATAACACATGTGCCTCCGTCATACACCGACGGCTTTAAAAGGACGCATTTCAGATAGCATATTTATATAATTATCGTTCGCATCACCTCTCGAAGAGGAAGAAGAAGAGGGGAAATTTCAGAGACCAAAGTATATTTTGACTGGTGTTTTAAAACCTCACTCGCCTCCATCGTCAGAGTAACCTGCTTACTGTTCGTGGGCCTTGAATGAACCCGCCTTGCCGCGAGCCATGTGTCATATCGGTGCTTACTGAATGTACGTTCGCCTGCCTGGTGGCCGCTGGTTGGACCCGATGTGTTTGCTGCCAACCAGTGTCGGTTCCGCGTCCACTTTGTTTCCTGC